GCAGAGCCATTTTTTAAAATAATATATTTTTCACTGATTTGATATATCGATAATGAAGAGCTAATTTAAGGCTAATTAATTACCCTATTTTCTAATTTTTGCTCTATGTTTCAAGCAAAAAAAAATCGAAACTATTCATCGAAATACGCGTTTATTCCGAGGTTTATTCACTATACATTATGCATATCTATCCAAAGCATATTATATGACGATTTTTCGAGACAAAGTGTTAGTATTGATTATAAGCTCAATAAATATTGCATTTTGGAATTTTTTGCTGCATATTTTTTAAACAAACCTGTGGCTTTGCTGGCTTCGGGCGAACTCAGCAGAGCCATTTTTTGAAATATTATATTTTTTACCGATTTGATATATCGGTATTGGAAGGTTAATTTTAGGCTAATTAATTACACCATTTTCGAATTTTTGGCTCAATGTTTCAAACAGAAAAAATACGAGACAATTTGTCGAAATACAAGTCATTCACTGTTCATTATGTATTTCTATCAAAAGCATATTTTATTATGTGGCCAGGTAGCCGTGCGGACAGAGTGTCTATATTCTAATTCACATTCGCTAGCCGGTCGTGGGTTCGATCCCCGTCGACTGCAGAAATTTTTCTGATGGCCCAAGAAAGTGTTTGGGATCACACTTTAAAAGGTGAGGCCCCCGTCATTCCTTGCTCGCACAAGACTTTCGAAGACTTTTGAGGGTTGCTCGTAAGGGGGCAACCGAATGACGGATAGAACAATTTTAGAACAACAACAAAATTCATGAGGGAAAGTGTTAGTATTGATTGTAAGCTTGATAACTATCCCATTTTGGAATTTTTCGCTACATATTTTTTAAAAGAAACCTGTGGCTCTGCTGAGTTCGTCCGAAGCCAGCAAAGCCACAGGTTTGTTTTAAAAAATATGCAGCAAAAAATTCCATAATGAAATAAATAGTTAGTGAACGTACAATCAATCGTTATAAAATATGCTATTGACATTATTGACATATTGATTGAAAGATTTGAAAATAGGGTAATCAATTAGCCTAAAATTAGCTCTTTGATATCGATATATCAAATCTGTGAAAAATATATTATTTTAAAAAATGGCTCTGCTGAGTTCGCCCGAAGCCAGCAAAGCCACAGGTTTCTATTAAAAAATATGCAGCAAAAAATTTCAAAATGGGATAGTCATCAAGCTTACAATCGATACTAACACTGTCACTCATGAAATCGTCATAAAATATGCTTTTGATTGAAATACATAATGTACAGTGAATGACGCGTATTTCGACAAATTGTCTTGTATTTTTTCTGTTTGAAACGTGGAGCAAAAAATTCGAAAATAGGGTAATTAATTAGCCTAAAATAAGCTCTTCAATATCGATATATCAAATCTGTGAAAAATATATTATTTTTAAAAATGGCTCTGCTGAGTTCGCCCGAAGCCAGCAAAGCCAAAGGTTTGTTTTAAAAAATATGCTGCAAAAAATTTCAAAATGCAATAGTTATTGAGCTTATGATCGATACTAACACTTTGTCTTGAAAAATCGTCATAAAATATGCTTTTGATATATATGCAGAATGTATAGTGAATAAACGTGTATTTCGACGAATCGTTTCGGTTTTTTTCTGCATGAAACATCGAGCAAAAAATTTTAAAATAGGAAAATTAATTAGCCTTAAATTAGCTCTTCAATATGGATATATCAAATCAGTGAAAAATATATTATTTTAAAAAATGGCTCTGCTGAGTTCGCCTGAAGCCAGCAAAGCCACAGGTTTGTTTTAAAAAATATGCAGCAAAAAATTTCAAAATGCAATAGTTATTGAGCTTATAATCGATACTAACACTTTGTTCTGAAAAATTGTCATAAAATATGCTTTTGATAGATATGCATAATGTATAGTGAATTAACGTGTATTTCGACGAATCGTTTCTTTTTTTTTCTGCTTGGTTTCTTTTAAAAAATATGTAGCCAAAAATTCCAAAATGGGATAGTCATCAAGCTTACAATCGATACTAACACTTTCCCTCATGAAATCGTCATGAAATATGCTTTTTATAGATAATAATAATAATAATAATAATATATGCTTTTATTAACTGCAATGTATATACTCAATATTACAATTGTATAAGTAGGCAGTTGCCCATAATATAGAAAGAATGCAGTCAAAAGGCAGAGTTAACGGTTACACGTATACATGGGTAGTCCGAGTAAGCATTCTCTTCCACTCAACCTACAGTATCACCATGATATTATACTAATATTATAAAAACTTAATGAGGTGTACTAGAAGAAAAAAAAAAAAAAGGAGAAAGGATTTTGACATCCAAATGAACACTGGTATGATATTATATAATACAATATTTTTATTATGAATTCAAAAATTAGTGGCATCTGTTGAAAGTATATTTTTGAGTTTCCTTTTGAATGACGGCAGCTCATTTCGTTTGATTTTATCGGGTATCCTATTGTAAAGCCTGGTTATCATGTAACTAAAAGATGACTGGTATAATGATGTAGAATGAAGAGGGGGTGTTAAGCGTGACTTAAACCGCACATTGAGGTGATGAACATCTGTTCGAAAGGTGATTTTGCATAATGTATAATTAATTAACGCGTATTTCGACGAATTGTCTTGTATTTTTTCTGTTTGAAACGTTGAGCAAAAAATTCAAAAATAGGGTAATTAATTAGCCTAAAAGTAGCTCTTCAATTTGGATATATCAAATCAGTGAAAAATATATTATTTCAAAAAATGGCTATGCTGAGTTCGCCCGGAGCCAGCAAAGCCACAGGTTTGTTTTAAAAAATATGCAGCAAAAAATTTCAAAATGCAATAGTTATTGAGCTTATAATCGATACTACTAACACTTTGTTTTGAAAAATCGTCATAAAATATGCCTTTGATAGATATGCGTAATGTATAGTGAATTAACGTCTATTTCGCCGAATCGTTTCGTTTTTTTTCTGCTTGGTTTCTTTTAAAAAATATGTACCCAAAAATTCCAAAATGGGATAGTCATCAAGCTTACAATCGATACTAACACTTTCCCTCATGAAATCGTCATAAAATATGCTTTTGATAGAAATACATAATGTACAGTAAATGACGCGTATTTCGACAAATTGTCTAGTATTTTTTCTGTTTGAAACGTGGAGCAAAAAAATCGAAAATAGGGTAATTAATTAGCCTAAAATTAGCCATTTGATCTCAATATATCAAATCGGTGGAAATTCTATGTTTTCAAAAATGGCTCTGCTGAGTTCGGCCGAAGCTAGCAAAGCCACAGATTTTTCTATGATAGAGAGGAGCAAGAAAATTGGGAATAGGATGATAAATTAGCCTAAAATGAGCACTACATTCTCACTATATCAGATATTCAAAAAATATAGATTTTCAAAAATGGCTTTGCTGAGTTCGGCCGAAGCTAGCAAAGCCACAGAATTTTCTATGATAGGGAGGAGCAAAAAATTCGGGAATGGGGTAATGAATTAGCCTAAAATGAGCCTAAAATTATGAGATGTGTCTCATGTTGAAAATCTAAAGTGGCTTTGCTAGCTTCTTTAGTATGAAAATTGGTACCGGTATATTTGGAATAATCCTCAATGATAATTTGTGATTATTTCTTTCTAGAAAAACCACAGAACTACATTTGCTGATCACCTATTTGAAGAAAATGATGATTCGTTTTTTCGGTCACCCTGTGTTTTATGATGATGAAAATCGGTGCAGGTATATTTCAAGTGGTACTGATTCAGAATCATCAAGTTCCGTGAAAAAAATCCCTAATAGTACTTTCTGGAATATGGGTCATTGAAATTTGTCGCAGTTTAGGAGAAAAGTTCCTGTAAACATTATACACGTGTGGCAAGAAAGATTTTTTAATGAAGAAACCGTGTGCATGGGAATTTTGAAAAAGCGAAGTTGCCATACTCTAACCCCTTCGTCGAGTGAGTCCATTTTTCGGCCTGTCCCAAGGGATTATCGTTTGCCACACGTGCCAAACTCGAGCAGATGGGGCAACGACGCTTTTTTCCTCTCTATGTTCCTCATGAATCTATATGCGTATTCATTAACACCGTTTCTTTGTTGGATAGTTATTCTTGCCAGGCGTGTATAGCGTCCAAGTTCAAAGAAAACCGCCCAATAAAAACACGCGATATTTTGGTGATACTAAGTAAGTATCTGGTAAGCAAATATATGCGTAGCAATTTTCAGCTGATTTCAATACCAGTGGCGTCGTTAGGGCAATAACAATAGTTTTTAGTACTTATTGAATAGGTATCAATGGAAACTCTTCAAATTTCATCATAAATAATTGAATGATTCTCATATGAGAAATGCGCTTCTCGACAGAACGCACCGTTTTCGAATAAGAACGAAAAAATCGAATTTGACCACAAATTTTGGTGTATATAGGTGTCGAATATATAATTCAAGACACCTGCTATGCATACTGGATAACCACAACAGATATCATTTTGAATTTTTAGCAAGTCACATACCAAGACTGAGTTTGGCCTTCACAATAATTCATACAAAATGTTTATAAAAATTATAGTGAATTTATTTTCAATTTCAACGTCCTGTATTTCGAAAACAGAAACTCTCATGACCAATATTCATGGAAACTTTTATTATTCGAATAAGATCTTATATCGATTGTCAGAGTTGTGCTATGATAAAGTGGACCACCCTGTAACACATTAGCTCCTAAAAGTAGAATAATCTTACAATAAATTAACATAACATTGACTTGCCTAACTTACGTATTGGAGGGAGGTTTATAAGCCCTTCAATTTGTAGTTGCCACTGAATCACCTGGTTCAATAATGTATGGATCGAGGTATGGATGCAATATATCTGTAAAAATTGATTTCTTGTTTGAAATCAGTCTGATCTCCCTGTTTGAAAAGGAGGTCCCTGTCCAATTTAATATTCAATATACCACTAATTCTAATTTTTTGATGTTTGTTTCAGGGTTGACCCCACTAGCATGGAAAACAAGAAAGGGGCCTTTCCGAATCATACCCCTAACCATGTTCCCCAAAGCAACGAACCCCTTCCGAATGAATCGCTCCCCAAACATCCCCACCAGCACAACACGGCACCCCAGCACCTCAGATACCTACAGTACGGCCTGAAAATCCCCAACAATCACCAGCACCCTCAACAATTCCAACAACTCAACTCGCCTATTCATTTACATCCCCATATCCACACCCAACAGCTTCAGTACAGGCTCCAAGCGTCCCCGCAGTTCAATAACTACCCCAACCAGGAGTATGCCCCCCATCAACATCAGAAGGTCAATAACCTTCAAAACCAACCCATATACCAGACCACCCAACCCCCACCTTCTGCTGGGCATGCGCACAACCCGATGGGGCAAAACACGCCCCAAATCTGGGTGCCGCACCAACCCCCTCCCATACATTATCATCAACAGCAGCTCCAGAAAGCTGAGGCTCAGAAACCTAGCAATCCTACTCCTCCAGTTCAGGGAAAGTCCAAGGAAGTTTTGGAAAGGAAAAAGTCTACTGGAAGCGTACAGTTGAGGTCTCCATCTGCTAAGCGGCCGCTCGAGGCACCTGTGACTATGCAGGGTTGGTTGCATAAGCAGGGTTCTGAAGGGTTAATGCTGTGGAAGAAACGCTGGTTCGTTTTGTCAGAGTATTGCCTCTTTTATTACAAGGGTGAGTCTCAATTTCACGCGTCAATTTCATTTTACTGCTTAAATAGCCGAATCGGGAGATATGGCTACCATATACAGAGTGATAATTCACGAATTCATCTCCACGACAGCCATACAATAGAGACAATTAAGTACATAAAATGAACCAGTTACTTACCATAAGATAGCTAAGAAGGTGACAAATTTTCAAATTACACTGTCAATGGCATCTGTCAATTGTCTTCTGTCAGCAAGGCCTTCATTATGGTCATGTGATTTTCTGCCTCTACTTGCCGATTGCTAGTCAAGAGGGAGCCAGTAAATTTTTCATTTGTTGTGTCTCAAATGTTTGGGTGCTTTTTTTTTTCGAAACTGTTCAACATATTTTAGATGTTACTCAAGTGTTTTCTACATAAAATGTTCTTATATTCATGTAAGTTAAGCTATCTCATGGTAACTGGTTCGTACCGCTTGTCTTTTTTGTTGGAATAATTTCTCAATGGCTGATGATGGACATATATATGTCCGAAACGTGTTGTCTCTGATTGATTCTTTACAGCAAACTGTCATGAAGGTGATTTTGTGTTTTATTTAGCATTTATTATAGAATTCTCCCAGAGATATACAGAGTGATTAAAAATAAATTGTACACGACAAGGCAATGGTAGAATCCTGATATCGAAACATGACGATTGGCTAAATATGGCCCTAGTAGTTAATATTTTATTACTCATTATCCGCTTCACAGATTTCAATGTTATTTATTAAATATTGGTAATTACGGTTTCTCTCGGGGTTTTTCAAGGTAGATATTATTACCAATACTACCATCATGTTATTCTAGTTGGAAATACTCAACATGAGTTTCTCTTGAAACCAAAGTTGGTTGGCATCATGGTGGAATTAGTATGGTGTCTGCTACGACGCATCTTCGTATACGTCACTGCGAGTAAAACAATTGCTCGCAGTCTGAGCTCACAGTATGCGCAGAAAAGACGAATTCAAGATACCTGAGTAGCACACCATATATATTTCTACCATGGTTGGCATAAGTAATTGTTCATAACATTTTTCTTTCAATAGTTGTTCAGGCTGGATTTTGTCCGAGTATATTTTAGCATATATGTGAAACTCCTGAGTCTCATCGAGAGGGGGAATTATGGTTTGTTGTTTTTTAAAATCCGACAAGTATAGTTGCCAAGTTCTTAATACCCTTCCGAGTACCCTTCGAAACAGTTAGACCATTAGAGTTTAGATGAGAAGTTTATAAGAAGAACTTTCGAATAGGTTGAACTAAGATGTAGGGTTTGTACCTCGTTGTGTACAATACTGAGCATTGAAAATTAGTGAAAAGCGGATTGTTATTCAGGTGAATATTTTTTTCAATTAGACGTACAGGTAATTAACGTATAAATAACTTGAGTTACCGGAAACCTCGCATTAATAATTTGTCGTCGTGACCAATTGCGGTTGATGGTGACTTGCACGCAAGGACCCGTTGATACAGCTACATAGATCTCGCTCTTCGCATGCCGTTGTCTTGTGATTGATTTTTCATGTTTTGGATCGCACGAAAGGGACTCCTTATGATGTTCTTGAAAGGTCGTGCATGCCTGCTTGAAATGGAAGAAGATAGAGTAGAGTAGATATTGGAACTTTTCGAGGTTATAAGGTTTTTGGAAATACTTTCCTAGGAACATATTTCCAAAGATGTAAATAACCGTTCTATGATACGACAGTTATTTGACAAATTCCAAGAATGATAACAGGAGGATGTCCTGATTGAGTTTTGTTGATTTCGTTTGACTGATATTGCCACTGTACTGTGCAGATAGTCGATATTTGAATGTTTTTCAAGAAAGTGTTGGTATATTTCCTGAAGGAAACGGGAATGTTTCCAACGGTGTCTGCGGTGTTCCAAATATGCCAACTAAAGAAACTCGAGAAATTCAGATTCGAGAAAAACTTCCACACGGAATCGAGCAACATAAGAGAATGGTGCACTGATGGGTCTGAAACCCCAGAGGGAAGTGGAGTAGGAGGAAAAATCTACTAACCAATTTCAAGCGGAAATCAACCTCGACAGGAAGTATAGAAAGGCCCGCATCAAAGCTGCAGAAGTGAGAAAGCTCCTGCAGCTTCACATGGATAAGCCCATGCATTCGGTCTACCTCAAGACCATTGAAGACCGGGGCTTAAACAAAGAGCTGACTTTTGCTTTTCTCAAGTCAGGCGAGCTTAAATCGGAAACAGAGGGGTTCATCATGGCATGCCGGGATGGGGTTTTCAACACTTTCGTCTACCGTAGCAGTGTCATGGGTATTGGGTATATCCATAGACACAATGCGGCATTGCGAGTGCTTTACTACTAATACTACTACTACTACTAAATAGACGAGACCCGAGTGCTGCCCTATGCTCCGGGGGATATTGAGTCCGTTGTGGACAATGCGAGGGGTAAATCTCCTTGGAAGTCTGGTGTACACTCCGTTGGAAGTCTTTGGAATTCTTTGGAATTCTCTGAATGTCTTTGGAAGTCTTTGGGAGTCTTTGGATGTCTTTGGAAGTCTTTAGTAGTCTTTGGATGTCTCTGGAAGTCTTTGGATGTCTCTGGAAGTCTTTAGTAGTCTTTGGATGTCTCTGGAAGTCTTTGGATGTCTCTGAAAGTCTTTGGAAGTCTTTGGGAGTATTTGGAAGTCTTTGGTTGTCTTTGGAAGTCTATGTTCATTGGAAGTCTGGTGTACACATTTTTCTTGGAGATTTACCCCTTGGGACAATGAGAGGTGCCGATTTATTGGAACTTCTCATTCCCCACCCTCAGGCTAATACAAGATAACAAGCCTGATGTAGTCCTCCTCGACCATCAAACCAAAGCGATATTCGTGATCGAGTTTTCGGCGCCAGCCGAACCGAACATCGTTTCGAAGGAGGAGGAGAAACGGACTAAATATCGATATCTTCTCTTCGGCTCCCTAGGAGGCACACGACATACGCTGCTCTCGGAAATCCAGAAAATCCCAGCATGCAGTGATAAGGCGCACATCCTGGCTGGTGGAATGCAGTAGGCCGTCATAGTTGGATCATTGCGTTTACCCAGGGCACACGGTTCTTGGTCCCAGTGATTATTCACCCCACAGGCTGTGGTGAGTAGTCACTGGATTTTATCCAGCACGACTCTGCGTGGCGTCGAAGGCCGCAGAGTCGTGACTGGAATAATATGAATTCAAATCAATAATAGTAATAAATCGTCTTTATTTGGGCGAAATTTAGCCAAAGCTATTCTTACATTCAACCCATTTTCAAATTTACCCTAATTAAGCTTAACCTAATACACAGGCGAAATACGGAATATGCATCATAATCTGATGTTACACATAACAGAAAAAGGAAAACTCTAGATAGTAACAAACAAATGCATATTCAATGACTAATATTAATAGAACTGCTTTTGAAATTATTGAAATCACTGACTCCAAATGTAAAAAATAAAAGTAAGTATAGGTATTCCACCAAATAGTATACCTCCTTATAGTCATATAGAGTTGAATTTGAAGTAGTTTCATGAATTTAATCAGTCTAGAAATAATCTGAGTAATGATTTTCATTTGAGATATGGATTCTTAGTGTGGGGAGGTGTGAAAGTCTATGAGCTATTAGATATTATGATATTATGAACATAAAATCATTTTAAATGATTTCATATACTAGTAAAAATTTTGCAAAAAAGAATTATTCTTTGTTTATAAATCTCATAAATTAGGAATTTGAGTATAGCTTGGTTATTAAAACCACCTGTTAATTTTTTTTACAATGTTTTGCTGTTAATTATGTACCATTATTGAACTGAAATTCCATTGTTTATGGGTTTATGTAATGAACAATGAACTATAAAATTAATACACAATGAAGTTTAGTCATCATCTAAAATACCTATATTCCGTCTGTTATGTAGAAAAGCTCTCCAGTTACCATTTTCGTGACAATATGGCAAAACAATTCCATGTTCATGGAAGTTGTGGATGACGCAGGAAGTGCACCAGCATACGGTGTTTCATTTCGCGTTAATCGCATTCAGCTCTAAAGTGTATAGCTTTATCAAAGCTGGACATTATTTAGGTTTACAAAAGAAGAAGTTTATGGTCGTAACTTTTATTATTTTTTGCCACTCGGTGTAAGTGAATTTAGCATCAAAAAAACCGCAGCGAAAAATAATAATCAATTTGTCCGATCGTTCTTCCAAAAAACAAAAAAACTACTGATTTTGTATAATTCCGCTAATTCGTGAATATTTTGAAAACGGTTCAACGTATGGAGTTGGGGGCTTTACAGTCTAAAAATGCCACTTTTTTATGACAACAAAATTTATGCGGTGATCCTCAAAAAATAATTTACGTACTCAGATTAATATGAACTTTTTTCGTACTTTTGTCTGGTCATTCAGCTGACGAGAGATTTGTGTCGAGTTCAGAATTTATGGAAATCAACTACTTTTCTGGCTATATTGCTTTTGATGCAGTGTATACAGGGTGTCCCATAAACATACCGACAAACTTTAAGGGATGGTAGAGGACATCAAAATAAACATTTTTGCTCGTGAAACATAAGTCCGTAAACTCTTCGTTTTCTAGATACAGGGTGTTAAAATTTAAAAAAAAAAACGATATTTTATTAATATCGTAAAAACGATTTAGTCGAATTTCATGAAATTCTTACAGATTATTGATACATTCATAAGGTATCTTTTGGAGCTATCAGAATTTGCCCAATAATTTCAGGAGCGTGCACACGGGCTATGTCGGATAGTTTTTGCGCAAAAAAAATATCGCCCAGTAGATTTTTTGTGATTATGGTATTTTTTTTTAAATGAACAACTAGAAATGCAACTTTTTTGTCCCTTGAAATTTTTCCGTATCTACCTTCGTTTTGAAGATTTAGATTTACATCTATGAAAAAAAATTAAATGCTTCAAAATTATACCTTATATTTTACCAATGCGTTGAGCCGGGATTGGCGCAGTGGAAG